ACCTAGGTTACTGGACCACGTTCCGTGTCCGACCCTCACCTTCAAGTAGGCTCAGTTCTGCAGTCCCAGAGCCTGTTGAGGCTCTGTTGTGTGGTCCCCTTTCTGTATTCCACATGTGAATGAAATCATCCTGTACTGGTCTTGCTCCTTCTGGCTTACTTCACTTAGCATAATCCCCTGCAGTTCCATCCAGGACATCACAAATGGCAAGAGATTATCTTTTTTTTAATAACTAAGTAGTATTTCACCACATCTTCTCAATCCTTTGCTCTGTTAATGGTCTTTTTTTTCTGGGTTGTGTATTAATGGTTATTATCTTTAACTCTGAGCAAGTTATAATATCTCCCCACTGCCTTCCCTGTGATTTTTAATAAAACTTTTCCAGACACATGACTGGTGGGGGAGACATTGTATGTGTGGAATTAGAATACTTAGGTTTTGGTCTTGCCTCTGCTACTTGCTGTATAGCCCAGGGCAAGTTATTTAGTACTTGGGCCTCTCTTTTATCTCATTTGCCAACCATGAATCTATTCACTGAACTTAATCTCAAGAGAGTTATGATGACTGAACAAGGTGTGACTGTGCTCTGTAAACTGATAAGCCAAATCCTCCAAATATTATTAGCTCTTTGCCACCTCACCTGTGTTGGGACAGGCAAGGAAAGGAAACCACATCATGCTCTATCACTCATAGTCATACCCTTGGCTTGGGGACACTTCAGATCTGTCAGTCAATAAATTGATAGTTGGGTGAATGTTGCAGGTAACAGCTAAAACAGTCTGGATGACTTGATTGGGCTCCTCCGGTTTGGCAAGCAAGAACTGGTCACATGAGAATAGATTGTGGTTCTAAACAGCCCCAGGATTCCACCTGCCTGGGGTGAAAGATGGAGCCATCTTTCAATCTAGAGAGAAAGCCCCTTCTCTGAGCACTGTCCACTGGTGGCACCATATGGTAGTTCACTGGACTCAGGAAAGCACCAGTGGGCTATAGTCCTGTGCCTTTGTGAGAGGTCCGACCATGACTCAGCTGTTTCTCAGCCTGACTGGTGGTTTGGACACTGTGAGCATGTGTCTTACCTGGAGCTGTGTTTTACCTGCTTCAGAATCCTTCCTGCCCTTGACTGTCCTGCTTTACAGATCACTCAGTTTGCCTGGGAGTGAAAATATTATAATTTAGAATTTTTTTTGTCCATAGACTATTATACACATTTTCATAAAAGGGTGGGGCAGCTGAGAGGCTGGTGTGGCTGGTGTTGACCCAGCATACTTCGCTGTTGTTTCATCAGACAAGCGTTGACCTCTCCCCAAGCATATTCAGTAAATTCTGGGAGTCCTGCTTTCTGCTGTGCTCTGAGATCAAGCACAAAACCTTCCTCAGTGGAGCTCACAGTCTAGAACTAATGCTCAGAATCCTCTCCCTCAGAGCTGTCTACCATCTTCTCCTGGATTTTGGTCTGCCATCTCTCTGTGGGACTGCCAAAGGACTCTTTCTTTTCTTTTGTTACCTTATTCAAAAAAAGTTTTTAACCATTATTTTCAAATAAAAGCAATATATGCTCATTCAAGGAAAACTGGAAAGATAACTATGTAAACACAAATTATATCACTTACCACTACAGAGACATTTTCAGTGTTGACATAATATACTTTCTTATGGATGCCTTAAAAGTAAAGTAGTCAGGGTCCTCCCTGGTGGCGCAACGGGTTAGGACTCAGCACTGCAAGCTAGCAGCAGCCACTTCAGTGCTAGTTCGATCCCTGGCCCGGGAAGTGACCCACATGGCAGACCTCTCCTGTCTGGCCTGCTGCTCCCCTCAGCAGTGTACTTTGGTGATCTGCCTGTTCTGCTCCCAGCTCTGTCTTTGGTTAAGCCTCTCATCACCCCTATACCTCTGGCCTGCATCCCAGTTCTGTATGCATAAATAAATAAATCTCTTAATAAAAAAAAAGTAAAGTAGTTAACCATGGAGTATATTGAACTTAAGTCTGTTTTCCTTGGCTATTATATCAGAAACCCCAACTCACATAACACTTGCCACCCTGCTTCACACGCGAGGCTCTAGCAGTCAGGCTGCCTTGACTTCCCTGCAGAGTTTCACACTTTGGTCCCTAACTCACAGTGCTGCTTCTACCCGGAATGTCCTCCCACTGGAGTGTCCGCTGAGATCCTTTTCACCTCTCAATTGTTAGTTCAAGCGTTCCCTCTTCCATTAAGCCTTTCCAGCCCAGCATAAACCTGACTACCCCTTTTCTCATACTTCATGGCACCCCTCCTTCCTGGAAAGCCACTCGCTGAAACTTAGGTTGTGGAGGCAACACAGCCGTGTCCTATTCACCCCTGTTTCTCCAGTTTAGCAAATATCAGCAAGTGATGGGGGCTTGGTAAATACAACCGATTAATCAAATATAATACTGTGTGAGTACAAGTAATTGATTGTAATATGTAAAGAATATTGTGCAGGGGATGTATAAAAGGTGTTTATAGGAGCCCAAAGGTAGGGCATTTTATGGGTATGTGATCCAAGATTCAGACAGGAAATGTGCTCATTTTTAATAGGACAACACCTTCCTCCATATTAAATCTGCTTTTTCGAATGCAGTTCGCCTCTCTGTTTCCTGAACTTGGATAAACTGTAGAAATTCTTGTCTCTTTCTCCTTGTATAACTCTTCCTCTGTCTCTCATGGCCCTGAGCCCCATTACAGAACAGAGGCTCTCCCTTTGACTGCATAGCCCACCACACATCAGTTATCCACCTGTCTGTTTCTCACCCAAAACAGCATAGAAAATGTATTTCACCCCTCGTTTCTCTTAGCCAGGATGCTGTGTCTGCACTCTCAGCAGTTGAGAAAAATTTTTGAATTACTACATTGCTTGAGGCACATTAGCTGCCATACAGGTTAGCAACACCTTCTAGTCCCCTCTTCTTTTTTCACTGCCTCTGTCCTTCTCAACTCCGCCCTGAGAGTCTGTCCCTGAAGACAGGTGGGAGGGGATAGAACAGATGTGATATTTGGACTCCTGAGATGCCCTTATTCCATGGAAGAGTCCAGCATGCCCACATCAAGGCAGCTGACCCTCAGGAAGGCCTTCTGCAGAGCTGTAGGCTGCTTCCCAGGCAATGTGGCCAGCACTTGCCATCCAGCAGTCTGAAGCACAGAGGCTGCAAGCAGGCAAGGGAGAGGGAAGGAAAAGGCATGTAATCAGATCAGTCGCCTGCAAGGGTGCATCTGCTAGGGCGCCTGTTTGCTGGTGGCACCAGGGACATGTCACATGTCGTTGTCATCGAAAAGCCTGCCTGTCCACTGGCTTGTCAGGCCTCCGCACCAGACACCCTCATTTCCTTAATAACTGGTTACAGATCCTGAATCTGTAAATTTAGCTAAACTCTTCTTGACCTTTCTATATTTTTAGTCCCTGCTGCTTCAGTGGATAACAACGTCCATGGTTGATTACCTGCTCTATAAAATAACTTCATGTTAAGTTGAAAGAAATTCTCTGTCTCAAGCTTGAAAACCCTGTCCTGTTAATTTTAGTTTCTAGTGTTGGTCACAGAAGCATGTTGGTCCCACGGTACATTTTGTTGGTTTGGGGTAAGGTGGGGGTGGGGAAAAGTATTCACATGTTCTCAACATTAAGGTTGTCAGCTCTCAAGTTTTTGTGTTTGCCACTGTTCTCATATAACAGCCCATCGGGTACCTTGTTCACTTTGTGTTTTATTTCCCTGGACTTATTGCCACTTCTGTTTGGCCTGGGTTGAAATACAAGAACTAAGAAAGTTTGTCACAGCGATTCCAAGTTTATGTAAGAGAATGCCAAAACCTTATGCTCCTGTTATCTTTGGGGGGTTTGGTTTTGTTTGACTGTTTTTAAGGAACAAAGTTGTTTTTATTTATCCTCTAGGTAGAAGTTTTCTGAGGCTACTAAGGTGAAGCCTTTCTTTTTAGCCACAGTGGTAGTTGGACTTTGGATTCAACTCCCATTCTTGTTTTTTAGTTGCCTACCTTGACCTTGATCTCAGCCTTACTATTTTATCCACAACGCTCCTGCTAATTTGTCCAGTGAAATGTCAAGTGTCACTATGTGATCTTTCTAGGACACTTCTAAAAAATGTTAACATTGACCCCACCTTTGACTACCCTTATCTTAACAATTCTGTCCCTGAGAAGAGGAACTCATCACTATAGAGCATTTTAAATTTTTCACGGGACTATACAACTGTGATCTTTGCTATTCCTTAGAAATCTGTTGGAGAAAGGAGAGATTTGATTTCAAAATTAAGAAGAACCAAAGTACAGAAAAGGGTTAGCTGTCTCACTTAAGAACATCCAGTGACCAGAAGATCTGGGGTTAGAATTGGAGTTTCTTTACCCTTTTACCCTGAACTCTTTCAAAAGTACCATTTTAATCCCTTTAACTTGTTTCTCAATCCTGCAGCTCCTTAATTAAAAGAAATGAAAAAGATTAATAAATGAAGGAAAGTACTTGGTCAGTAACCTTAGCGAAGATTTTTTAGAAAAGACTAAATCTTCTTACTTCTTCTCATCTACATCTCGCTGGCCTCTCAAAAATAAAAAAGAAAAACTGATTTAACAAAGCATGATTTCCCTGAATTAGTATTCCTATCACTACATTCCCCTTCTCAATTTGTATTTGATAGTAGACAACTGATTTCTTTCTTAAGAACTTGTTTAGCGTAGAATGGTGACGATTAGCTTTATCACTAGTCTCTTTACCCAGAGATAAGTCACTAACAATTTTCCTTTTGTCTGAGAAATTGGCACACAGAGATGCCAAGGGCCTCCTGAGGGCCTGAGAAGGCTGCAGTTCTGGGCTCCCTGCTGCAGGGAGAGGGGGCTCTCTGGTCACCTGGTGCACCACAGAGGCCCAGTAAGGACAGCCTGATCTTCTGACTTGGCCGTGGCTCTGCTTGGGGACACAAAGCTTCCGGATGACTGCTCAGTGTACACTTCCCTAAGCCCTTCTATTTCCTTTTCAGAGTCTAGAAGGAGGCTCCTACAGGGGGAGCTTGAAAGACCCGCCAGGATGCCTGAATGAGGGGATGGCCCCTCCCACACCTCCTAGAAACCTAGAAGAGGAACAGAAAGCCAAGGCCTTGAGAGGCAGGATGTAAGTGACACCTCCTGATTCCACCCTGGTGTATGTGTCCGCACACACAACAGCCAAGGCTGGTGGAGTGGTTGGGGAGAATTAGCGAGGGATTCCCCATTTTTTCCTAAAGAAAAATGCTCTATAATTGGTTCAGTTTATCAATCCATCATGCACTGCCTCCTGAGGCATATAATTTTAATCTTTTGTGGGCCATTTCAGAATATTTGCTAAATGTGTCATTACCTCCCCAAGAATTTCATCAGCTCTGCCAGGAAGGTCCACTAGCAGCACCTTCCCCAGGTGCTGAATGCAAGACAGCCCTCCGCCTGTCAGCAGATAGCTTAGGATGATAACGTGTTACCTCAAGGAAGAGAGCTAGACTTCATCTTCATTTCCAGCCCCACATTCCTGCTCTAACTTTTCTGTGGGTTTTCTTGGGCGAAAGATATATTTGAATGCTCTTATTTGGCCTCACCAGTTCTTTCCTGTGGCCTACAACACATGATTGTCTGTAGTAGAGAGAGGGAGCAGGGTGGAAGAACTGGGCATGCTGATAAAGAAGCATGTGTTTCTCAGCTTCCTTCCCTCGCCCGAGGCCCATGACCCGGGCACTTGGTGGCTTCTCTGTGCCATGAAGAACAAGAATTTCAGATGAATAGAACTTCCCGGGTTCCCTAATGCTGGGCCCCTCCGCCATCTCCAACACACTCCCTTCAGTCACTGAGGCCAAAGATGCAGTCGTGGGAAGCAGGCAAAACTCTTCCAGATTTAGATGTATGAGTCCAGTGAGGCCCAGTGCACCTCGTCTGCCACTATGCCCAGCCCTGAGCGTTTTATGGACAGCTCTTTACTGCCTGGAAGGAAGGAAAGGAAAATAGAGAGGGTTTGGACTTGAGGCCTCACAGATTCCGGGGAACCAGTGTGAACGGTTTACCAGCAACAGACACAGTGAAAGGGCAGCATCTTTGGGCTCTTAGATAACTGGGTTCAAATCTCACTTGGCCATTTACTTTATCATCTGGGGCAAGTTACCTAACCTTTCTGCCTCAGTATTTTCATCTATATAAACACGGCTTACAACACCTACCTTGACATTGGCAAGAGAAAACCCAGATGAAGCAACTGACACAAAGTAAATGTTCTAAGAGGAAAATAAACATTAACAGAAAGAAAGCAAAAATGCAAAAGTCCTCCCTCCTAGTTTTAGTCCTCAGCTGGTAGAGGCTGGGATGGGTGCTGCCTCAGAGCTGCAGTCACACAAAACCCTTGACAGAGGGTTTTTCGGGCCAGTTAACCAGGGATTTCTGTCTGAATAATTGTAGCTTCTCTGTCTCAAAAACTTCACTCGGTGCCAGTGCTTCTGAGGCCTCAGAGGCTGGTTATCAGGCAAATGTCTTTCTCCTGTTGTTAAGCAAAGAATGGAGCTTAAATGGGGGGCGGGGGGCGATTTTCATATCAATCCCTTGGCTTTCAAAGTTTTTATCACTCATTTGCCAAAGTTGTCATTTTCCTCTGTAGCCTGTGCAATTGTTCAGTTATAGACGAGGGAGGGAGAAGCAAGAGAATGCTGGGTTAGGAGCACCCCATGGTCTGGCTGTGCTGTGCCAGCTGGGAAGGCCCTCTCCCAGCCCCTGGCCCTCCGCTATCCAGCAAGGGCCTCTGTAGAGCAAGCAACAGCACACTGCTGGGTGCTGAGTGTGGCACTCATGGCACTCTGGTCATAAAGTCACTGATGTGACTTCCTGCAAATTTAAGTGGGAAGATCTCTTGCTCGCAAAGAAGATGAACCTTCATTATTCTTAATCTCCTGCTCAGGTTCGTCCTGAATGAGCTGGTACAGACAGAGAAAGACTATGTCAAGGATCTGGGGATTGTGGTGGAGGTGAGTAGAGGGCTCGAGGAGGTCTGGGGTCACCTAACCATATTGGATTCTACCTGGTGAAGGTGGTTTCCACTTGAGGGTTCTGTGTATGTTTTCTACCTCTGTATTTGCAGAAATGAAACTAAATAGAGCAAATAAAAAATATACAATTTTTTCTTTTCCCCTTAAACTAGGATCAAGATTTAGAAGGTAGGTCCCACATATTGCAGCACTTCAGGGAGCCTCTGAAAGCTAAGTTCATTTCACCTTGTTTTGGGTGACCAAGACATTGTCCTAAGAGCTGTTTTTGGTGTCTAATCATGCGGACATTCATTCTGAAGAGCCGTGTGCCACTGTGGGCACTAAGCAGGTTACTCTTAATGACACCTTGGTGCTTTTTGTGTCCTTATATTTTAAGAAGGGTGTTATGGCTACTAGAAGACAGACAAAAGCCCATGAGCACCAGAGGGCAACAATGAAAGTCCACAGTTGTAGTTAACTTGGTAGTAAATAGGACATCTCTCTCTCCTTAAGAATTTATGTCAGGGGATTTACATACTTGAATGAGAAGATCTAAAGCAAGTGGATAATTTAGAGCCTTGTTGTAATTCATCTTAAACAAAAGGACATGAAATCTAAAAATTGCCTGATCATTGAATCTTCTAGTTCTTTTCCTTGAGCCTGCAAGTCCCCATCCTGTAAAATCTGACAATGTTCTGCATTTGCTTGTCCTGAGTCTGGACAAGCAGATGACTTGGCAGATATAAGATCTACCTGAGGTCTTGTGAGAAGTTATTCTCTGTTCCAAAGAGAGATGGGATCAATAAGGAGTACAGGGACACCTGTAGGCAGCCACCTTAGGAATAAAGAGTCTATGAGTCTGGATACAAGAATCTTATCCAGAGAAATCAGACAAATGATAGAAGATTTGGCTGACAACGAATCACATAACTCCCCAGAGCCCTGGTTTTCTCATGTGTCAAATGTGGATAGATACTGTCTGTGCAATCTCAAAACCTGATTTTTTTTAATTTGAAAAGAGATTATATTATAACATGTTACAGAATCTAAAAGCCTTAGCATATCAATAAGTATTTCTAGATCAGATATATATCTAGTTCTAAGCCTGTGAGGGCATAATTAACTGGGATTGGAAAGAGAGAGACAGACAGATGATCTTCTTCTTCTTTGTTCTTTATTTTTTAATTTTTGTTGAAGTAACACTGCTATATATCATTCATTACACATCAGGTGTACACCATTATATTTCGATACCTGTATATATTACCTTATGTTCTGCTTTCTCAAAAACAAAGTGACCCAGTACTTCATAAAAGTTATGCCTGTCGCTCAGCTCAAAAGCTAAGTCTTCAATGACTAGCAAAAAAAAGAGAAAAAACTACATTCTCATAATAAAGCACTGCCCTCAAGGGTCCTCCCTAGTGATGCAACTGGTTAGGACTCAGCACTGCAAGCTGGCCGCAGCCTCCTCAGTGCAAGTTCGATCCTCAGCCCCCGTGGTGATCCAAATGGCGCAGCAGACCTCTCCTGACCCACCCACTGCTCCCCTCTGCAGTGTACTTTGTCAATCTGCCTGTTCTGCTCCCCACTCTGTCTCCGGTGAATCCTCTCACCACCCTGCACCTCTGGCCTGTGCCCCAGTTCTATATGCATAAATGAATAAATCTTTAAAATCCTCAGACTCATGCCAGGGGCTGTGGTGTGGGGCTGAACCTAGAAAGCTTCTCACGAAATGCTCTCCTATTTAGCGAACGAATGAATGAATGAATGCATACATTCATGCATGCTCTAACTATCTTCTGTATGCTACAGGGTTTCATGAAGAGAATAGAAGAAAAGGGTGTTCCTGAAGACATGCGAGGAAAAGATAAAATCGTGTTTGGAAATATTCACCAGATTTATGACTGGCACAAGGAGTAAGTGCTGTGCGCCCTCAGGGGGTGTCCTGCCCCTGCAGGGCTCTCTTTCCTCCCCTGCATCTGGCCTTAGGGGTCGAGTTTGTGGAGCATCACTGTGAAATTATACAGTTCTGAAAAATTATGGCTTCTTTTCTCTTATCTCCTTCCTCCTTTTAGCTTTTTCCTGACTGAACTGGAAAAATGTATCCAGGAACAAGACAGATTGGCACAGCTCTTTATTAAACATGTGAGTGTTTTCCTGGCACCTCCAGCCTATCCCCTCCCACCGGGCTCATTTACATTCCCTTTCACATTCCTTCCTTCCTTCTGCTTTCCCTTGACCTGCCTCCCTTCTGGCACATCTGAGTTGTTATGTTTTCAGCCCTTTGGATGGTGGACTCCTGTCCTCTCTTTAGCTGCCTTGATGCGTCCCCAGAATGTAGACTGAGTCTGTGCTGCTCACCGCATGTAGGCCCAGAGCTCTCAGAGCACGAGGCTCCAGGTGCCTGAGTGCCTTCCCTGTGCCTTTGCAGGAGCGGAAGCTTCACATCTACGTGTGGTACTGCCAGAACAAGCCACGCTCAGAGTACATCGTGGCCGAATACGACGCCTACTTTGAAGTAAGCTACCTTGGCTTTTGCTCACCTGGGTTGAGGGGAAGAAACTCTGGCCACACATTCTAAGACAGAGCTGCCATCCTCACATAGATCCGATGGCCCTTTGGAGCAGAGCCTTTAGCCTCTTAGCTAAATGCTCAGGCATCCCCTTGCTGGAGGGGAACTGAGGTCGCCCAGGGCAGGTGCTGTCTTGCTGCTTTTAGAGGCCTCCCTTACTGTAGCACAGAAACTGCCGCAGGCCTCCTCCAGGTCTCTGCCCCCCATCCTCCCTCCCTGACCCCCAAACACTCTTCCTCACTGGTCCCCTGGAGATGAAGAGAGCTTGTTGAGATTGTGCCTCCTTGTTAATTAAGGTGGACACAGTCACCGCGTAGTCTCTGCCCCCAGTCCCAGAGGGTCTGTCAAGTACAAGCAGAGTTTGTTTCACCCCAGCCTGGCGGTGCTGGTTACGCTGGAGAAGCAGCAACACCATCATTTGAGAAGTGCCCAAAACTGAGTGTTTGCAGAGATGAGTTGGGCACCACCCATAGGCTTGTGCCTGAGGAGAAGCTGTTCATTCCTGGCGTGGTTCTGGAGCCAGAGAACACACTGCCCACTCTACCTTGTTCCCAGGACCAGGGGGAGGATCCAGGCTCCGAGAGCGTGTGGCACCCAGGCTGGTGATGGTGAAATGTGTTCATGTGATTAATGACCAATCAGCAGCTGGACAGTCAAGTCTACCTCTCACACGATTTGACGATTCCAGGTTTCATTGACAAACATGAAAACCTGTGCTTCCTGCCCAGAACCCTGATGCAGAGCACCCTAATTCTTTAGTACCTTTTTTTCTAATGTATCTTTCTTGTGTTCTAGGAGGTGAAACAGGAGATAAATCAAAGACTGACACTTAGCGATTTTCTTATCAAGCCCATCCAGAGAATAACGAAGTATCAACTGCTCCTCAAGGTATGAGAGGGGTCAGCCTGGGTGGGTGTCAGCGGTGGGCCCTGTATTAGGGAGCAGGTCAGTCTCCACCACACTTCTCTCTAGAGCTTGTCTGTCAGTTACTGTGTCAGCTGCATCTCCAAATAAATTGCAAAATGGTTATTTCTACATTTAAGGTTGGTTGGTTTTCTTTTTTTCAATTCGCTTTCTTTCTTTGCAACAATCTCTGGCTCGGTACCTTTTAGGAAATATAAAACCTTAAATATTAAGGTAGAATACAAGAGGGAAAAAAGGAAAGGAAAAACTCTGAAAACCTTAGCTGAACAATATCTAAAACTCAATCGTATTTTGCTTTTTAAAAATAGTTTGACTTGCTTTGTCTCAGAAATGAAACTTCATTTTCTTCTATCCTTTCATATCATAATCACCTCTCTCCCCAGCTCACACACTTTTTCTGTTTCCTTCCTCCCTTGCTCTCTCCCTTTTCTCCTAGCTTTGACTCTGGAGATTTGGGGAGCTTTCTCTGTGTTATCATATCCAATATGACTTGTAATTTAATATCACAGCTACAACAAACCATGGCCATTTCTGGTGGGAAGGAAAGTCTTCTGGTGTTAGTGTGGTTTCATGATGCTAAGCTTTCATAGCACTGTTTCCTAACTGATTTCACCCTCCCCACACCCTTCCCTTCTTCCCTCACTTACTAGGACTTCCTGAGATACAGCGAGAAAGCGGGTTTGGAATGTTCAGATATCGAGGTGAGTATTTTGCTTGTAATGCTGGCTGTTCTTAGGGACGATATTGGGTGTCTCTGTGACAGGGAAAGCTGTCACTGGACAGCCAGGGCTGTTCTTAGGGATGATATTGGGTGTCTCTGTGACAGGGAAAGCTGTCACTGGACAGCCAGGGGTCCAGGCTGACCTCTGTCAGTAAAAACCCCTCAAGAACAACTGCTTAGCAGGATGAGGGTTGGCAGGTGTTAATAAATGCACTAAAAATTTTTTCTAGAACTCAAGAATTCTGTCCAGGGCAAACCAGCACTTATGCCCACGGGTCTCCTTGTAGCTCCCAGTGACATGTGGTGGGGAGGGTGATATTTAAGGTCTCCAACATCCCTCAGAGTCTGGGTGCTTCACTGTGCAGTTTTACCCAGGAATCCAGAAGCTGTTTGAGCTTCATATATATAAAATATTCCATTTTTACTCCCTCCCCTGCCCCCTGAGGATTACTCCCCAACTGAAGTCCTATGAGACAAAGTCACCATGGGATTATTTTAAACCAGAGAGGTTACAGACCATTCTGGCAGGTTATTTTAGGTTAAATCCTCTCATGTTTCACAAGCCAGGCTGAGCTGTTGCTTGGAGAGCCAGGAAGCAACAAAGAGAAGATAGAAAATACAAGAAGGAAAGAGAATTGATAAAGGTGGGAATGTAGGAAAAGGATGGGCTGGTAGCATTCTCACCACATGCAGTCACGATTTACAGGGAGCCCCTGTAATGATGACCTACCTAGAGCAGAAAGTCCCACACCCCTGGAAGTGAGGAGCACAGCCTCCTCACTCAAGCAGCCTTTCCTGGAGTCAAGGCGCTACCAGGAGGCCCCTGATTCCAGCACAGAATTGCCCTGAACTTCTGCCTGTGTGCTATTCCTTGCCCTGAGCCTATCTTGTTCTTTCCCACAGAAAGCAGTGGAGTTAATGTGCCTTGTTCCCAAACGCTGCAATGACATGATGAATCTGGGACGCCTGCAGGGCTTTGAGGTGAGGCCTTAACAATGCTTCCCAGCCCTCTCTTCTGGGCAACAGGACCCCAAGCAGGGAGGATGCTTCCCTGGGAAGCCCTGTGCCCCTACCTCCTCCACTAGCTTCATGCCCATTTACACCATTGTGCCCAGGCCCCTCTGATTCCCAGCTAGAAGGTGCCTCTGTCTGGGAAGGAGTAGGGCAGTCATAGAGGTTCCGGAGCAGTCAGCTGGCCTGGAGTCAGGATTCCCAGGGGTTTAGAAAGACCAAAACATCTTCATCCCTGTGGACCTGGCGAGAACCTCTCTTCCCTTTTCTTTCTTGCTGAGAAATGCTGGGAATCTGATGGAGAACAGGGGTATGTGATGAAAGTAGAACTGGAGGGGAACACTTGTGTTTGGAGAGGGTGGCTCTAATAAGCAGGTCTCTGTAGAGGCCGGCTTTAAATTACATGAACACTTAGAGCTCTGACACATCAGAGTGGACATTTCTGTTCTTTAAAGGGAAGAATCAAATTTTCCTTTGTCTTTGTCCGCTCTTCTGACGACTTTGGAGTGGTAAGGTTTTCTGAGACAGCCTTCTGGAAGACAGTCAAAGAATCAGAGTCTTCCTTTGGTCCCCATGGGGATTTAATCCGTCCATTTAATTTTTAAATTTTTAGAGAAATTATTAACTGCGAACCATATTTTTCCCCTTTCCTTCTCCCCTCCCTTTTAACCCTCAGAATGTTAATTGATATCCATTAGCTTTGAAAGTACTTTGTGTTATCAAATTGTCTGTTATGTAAATGTTCAGTATTTGTTTTTAAACATTCGGACTTACTTTGCTGCGTAATTCTCTCATTCCCTCCATTCTGTTGAAAATGGCTGCGTTTCATCCTTTATTGTGGTTATGTAATACTCCCTGGTGTGGATCTACCACATCTTCTTAACCCGATTGTCCATGGATATCCTAGCTAAAGTAAGTAAGGATGCTGCAAACATTGTGGAACCTATGAGGTTTTCTGTTGGTGGTTTATATTCTTTGGATGTACTGCCAAGCGGATGACTGGTCCCTAGGGCGTTTCCAATTTCACATTTTTAACATAAATCCAAGTTGCTCTCCTTAATAGTTACAACAGTTTACATTCCCACCAACAATGTAGTAGTGTTCATTTTTCCCCTGCATTGTCTCCAGGATCTTTTTGATATATGTCATTCTTACAGGTGTGAGAATGTATCTCACTGTGGTTTTAATCTGCACCTCTCAGAATCAGTGATAATCCTTTGGCCTTCGGGACATCCTTTATAAATTTTCTGTTCACATCTGCTGCCCATTTGTTCTTTGGGCTATTTATGGCCTTTTTGTGGCAGAATTGTGAGATCTTTTTATACATACCTTGTATATAAATCCCTTGTCATTTACATATTGCATAAATACAAGAATAAAGTCTTAGGAGAAACTCTCAAATGTCCTCAGGATTTTTGTTTTAGTGAATGTGCTAGTTTATTAGGGATGACAAAACAAAGTTCCATTGCCTGGCAGACTCAAACAAAAGGAATTTGTCATCTCACATTTCTGGAATCTAGAAGTCCAGAAAAAA